GCAGACGATTTCCTTGGGGTAACCCTTGGTTCGAGTCCAACTGGCGTAAAGAACCTCGGCCAACTCCGGTGCCTTGGCATGGTAGCGGCAAGGCAAACCATGGCAAACTTGGTGAGTTGGTCGACCACAGTGAGAATCCCATCCACACCGGTCTTATGCTTGGGGAACGGCCCGGTAATGTCCATGGCAATCGCTTCCCTTCGGCGCAAGGGGACCGGTAGCGGTCGCAACTCGCCGTACGGACGATGGTTGCTGGTTTTATAGCATCGGCAAACCTCGCATGACTCGCAACAGCGTGTGACGTCGTTGAGAAGGCCGGGCCACCAAAATCGCTCGTGAAGTCGGCCAATCGTGCGATTGACTCCCAAGTGTTCAGTGGCGGGAGCATCATGGAACTCGCCAAGAAGCCGTGTACGCAAGTGAGAGTCACTCGGTACACAAAGAAGGTCCTTCCCACGCATGTGGAGAAGCAAGTACCCCTGTTGGATCCAGTAGTGAGAAGGCGCCGGATTAGGAGAGGAGCAATTTGTGTACTTGTCGTGAAACTTGGGGTCAGCTTGGTAGCCGCGGATGAAACTGTCCCGCAGGTCGTCTCCGATCTCGACGGTCGAGTAGACTGCGGTACAATGATCCGGACGCCGTGAAAGAGCATCCGCAAAACGGTTTGACTTCCCTGGAATATGATTGGGAAAGAAGTCAAATTGGTTGATGAAAGCCATCCATCGGGCGATGGTGTTGTTGACGGTGTCTTGGGTCTTGTAGAAGACCAACGGATTGTTGTCCTTTACCCATCGCAATTGACTTCGACCAAGGAGGAAGTACCGTCACCGCTTGAGCGCGTGGACGAAGGCTAGAAGCTCCTTGTGTGCATCATCAATGGAGTGCAGGACGGCCACTTTCTTGCTGAAGTACTCGACCCGGTGCCAGTCCACGCCATCGTGTTGCTCAAGGACGACACCAATGCCATAGCCGGACGCATCCGTAGTGATGCGCATTGGCAATAGCAGGTCGTATATGCGCAAGACCTCCGTAAATAATAGCGCAGCTTTGAGAGCCAAAAATGATTCCCGCACATCCTCCCCGAAGTCAAACGGTCGATCCTCGCATTGAAGCTTGGACAAGTGGGCTGCGATTTTCGAGTATCCCTTGATAAAATGTTGGTAGTAGCCGGCAAGGCCAAGGAACGAACGGACATCCGTGACGTTCCGCGGCTCCGGCCACTCTTGGATGGCTTGAATCTTGTCCGATAGCGGACTGATGCCCTCCGGTGTGACAAAATGGCCCAAGTATTCCAACTCTTGCCGGACAAATTCACACTTGTCGCGGTTGGCCTTGTACTTGGCGTGGTGGAGCGTCTCCAACACTCTTCGAAGGTGCTCAAGATGATCCTCCAATGACCAACTATAGACGAGAATGTCGTCTAAGTGGACCAGCACGAGCTGGTCCAACATCGCACGGAACTCGTTCGTCATTGCCGCTGAAATGTCACTGGGGCGTTGGTGAGGCCAAAAGGCATGACCACCCACTCAAAATGCCTATACCGCGTCTTGAACGTGGATTTATAGCGATCGTTCGGCCGGATCGAAATCAGATGGTATCCCAACTTCAAATCCAACTTAGAAAAATACTTTGCGCTGCCCAATCACTCAAGAAGATCGTCGATGCGAGGAAGAGGCCTCGCATTCTTGACGGTTTGCGCGTTGAGCTTGCGGTAGTCGATGCACAATCGTAGATCCTTCTTCTTCCGTACGAAGAAAACTGGCGCTCCGTATGGAGAGCTACTAGGGCGGATCCAGCCCTTGTCAAACAAGTCATCGAGTTGCATGCGGAGAACCATAAGCTCCTCCTTGCTCATGCGATAAATGCAACCTTTCGGCGGCACAACACCGGCCTCGAGAATGATCTCGTGAGAGATTGGCCGATCCGACACCACACCGGTAGGTGACTCGAAGATGTTGGCGAACTTGTCAAGCAATCGCACCACACGGGGGTCCGAAGACAAGTCCGTGGGTGAAGAATCGACTACCACGACGGGCCGTAGGAAACATAGGCCAATTTCGTCGGTCTGCTCGTAAGCACAAGTAGCCCGGAATGACTTGGCCGTCACCACTTGGCACCGAATCGAAGGGTACGGAAGAGGAATAGTACACGACACTTCGGCGCCGAAGGCGTCGCAAACGGTAAGAGTCTGCGGGTGGAAGTGGACCGTGTGATTTGCACTTGCAAGCCAAGGCATTCCCAAAATAATGTCGAAGTCCGTGTCCAGAATGTCGAACGTTACCGGTTCGCATGCATGAGGTGCAAAATACACCGGTACGGCCTCGACGTAGCGGTCGATAAGTTACTACGTCCTTCCGTCCGCCAACTTGATCGCCGTCGGGTTTGCCTTCCTTCGAACTTGTGCGCAAAGGCCAGCCTTTTGCATAAAGGTTTGGCTCATAAAATTGCGAGACGCGCCGCTATCCAGCAAAGCGCCGCAGGACACTTGCCCAACTTGGATGCGGACATAGAGGAGCAATGCGTTGTTGTCGTCATACCGCTGATTGCGAAACTTGCGGGCCACCTTGGTAACATATGCAAGGATGTCCCACATCGCGACTTCGTCATCCGTCGACGAAGTTGGTGGTGCATAGAAGGATAAGTATGTGTGAAGATGAGTGCATAATGCTGCGCATTGAGGTCTCCCGACAAGTGGCCCGTGGTCGGGAGAGGAAGCCATGCGAAATCCTCGGACGTGAGCGGGTCTAATACCTCTATGTTGAACTCGCGAGGCGAATCCCGTGAAGAACCACTTGAAGACGATAAGTTGCCGTTGTCGGACGGAGAAGATGCCGCACACACGTCTTGTCCTTGAGCATGAGTACCCAGCGTAGGAACGAGCCGGGCAGCATAGTCCTCAAAAGAATAAAGAAGAGGAGGACTATCGACTTCCGCATGTGCCTCGGAACGAAGGGCAGTCACCAGCGAAGTGACCAGTTCCGAAGGCGTCGAGAGTGTCGTCGACTTACTCCCGGCGGTGCTCAGTTTCCTGATTTGCCTTTGCCTTTCGATGGCCAGCCCATTGTCTCGTGGAGATCGTTGTTACACCACAGACAATAATGAAATCTTGTGCGTGCCTTGTATGCTTGCTTGGAGAGACCGTAGTGGGACCATGGGGCTGGAGCTGCTGCGCCGGGCCCGGGGCTAAATGTGGTGTTTGTCTTCGCCTTGCCGTTGTCGGAGGGCGCGGTGTCCCGACCCTCCTCTGTGTACCAGGTCCCTGCCTGATATCGGCCCCTTGTCCCGGTGTCGTGGCCTATGGGGGGCCTATGGGTATGTTCCAAAATTAAGTTCCCTGGTACCCGGGCTGTACCATGACGTGGACCGGCCCTATTTGGTGCTTGCCTCAACAAAAAGGTGCGCCACAGGGCTTTCCATTGGTCCACGCAGGCTCGGCGCCCTGCTGTACAGCAGAGCACAACCGGTCTGTGGCCGTGGTAGCCCCCGGGTTCGCCCTGGGACGCGGAGGTGAGAAGGCTGGCTCTTTCTTTTCAACTGCGCGCCAAGCGCCCCTCTACAGAGTTATGGGTTAGGTGCATGACACTGACAGCAGTCAGAGAAAAGAGGGCTAAACAAAAAGCAGGAAGGAAAAATGGAAAATGGAGCAAAAGAAAATGAAAAAGAAAGCTAAAGGTCTAATCAACGTGGCTGGACTACTAGCCTTAGTTCGGGGGGAAATCTGACGGCCTCCGGCCCCCAGCTATCGTTGCGTTTCATTCTTTTATTATTATTATTATTATTATTATTATTATTTATTGTTATCATTATTTCCTTTTCAGTTTTCTTTGTTGGTCTGTCGTTCCGTGGGGAGGCCAATGGATTGGGTTCCGAGTTTGGGCAGTGGTCTATGGCCTAGGCTGGCCCGAGCCCTTGCATGTCATCTGTACTGGACCTGCTCGTCTGAGCTCCGCCCGGTAGGACCCCGGTAGCCAGGTTAAGGGGTAGATACAGTGAGGTCTGAAAAGGGAAAAGTATGAAAAAGAAGGAAGGAAGGGAAAAGGTCGAAAGTCGGGTTTTAGATTTGTGCGTGAACGTGGGGCGTTGTTCAGGCGAGGCTGCTGCGCGAAGAGATTCTGAAACACCAGCCTTTCCTTTTCTGCGATTATTATTATTATTATTGCCTTACCGGTTTTCGGGGCGGCTTTCCTTTTCATTTTTTGTCCTATCGTGGGGAGGCTAACGGTTCAAATTTTGAGTTGTGGTCCTTGTTGGCCGGCCCCACTTATTTCGTCTGAGAATGAGCGCCGATTGAGTGCCGCACGGTGAGGCCCCAAAAGAGGGGGGCGACCCGCGGCCGCAACGGTAGGAGGCTCATCAACCCCTATAGAAGGTCATGAACCCCCTCCTTACCATCAGACACGGGTACCCGAGAGGAGAATAGGCCGATGAATCTTTTAAAAGGGTGGGAGCGTCGGTCGGGTTCCCGTTATGGGTTCGCCGCGCTAAAGTACAATGGTCCCTTCGCGCAAGGGCTGGTTCTGCGATCGTTGGCACATTGTTTTCAAATTTCTCGTTGCCTATTGGTTTTGATTTTGCCTCCTAATAAAGTATCTCCTTTTTATTTTTTTTATTTAGCTGATTTTTCCTGGTTTGATCCCTTGTTTAGAACGCAGGGGTCATAGTTGATGAAAACCTTATAAGAAGAGAAGGAAGGTGGCTTTAGTCATGGAAAAATCATGCTATGCCGAGTCCCAACTTACCGCAGATAGACGGCTAAGCAGTCTTGGCAGGGAAGGGGGAAACTGCTGGATTGCGTTTATTTTGCAAGCTGAGCAGTTTGGCTTTGATTGCTTGAGGCGGCAGGGCTGATCTGGTGCAAAGTTGCTGAGAGAGGCCTGGCAATGGCATTGCACGGGTATAGGCCCGGTTACTAGTACCATCAGGCCCGGTGGAAACCCATATCTGGGGATGAGCCTTGGATCATCTTAATACTCAACTACGACGGTGGGGAAGAGGTGCAGTTGAAGATTAATGTGGAGGGAGCGAGAGAGGGAGAGATGCGGGCTAACCCGAAGCTGCAGGACGCAATTACGCAGGCGAGAGATCGTGCAGAGAGGCGCTGCAGAAGGGACAGTGTGACAGCGAGGCTACTGGTAACGGTGGCCTATCACGAGACTGAAACTTCGTCTGACACGGCGGACAGGGAACAAGCTCATCTGGACCGGGACTCAGGTGGGGAGAGTGAAATGAGCGAGGCAGATCGGGAGACGGACCTCAGGTCCTGGAATAGACCAGGCGAAGTCCAGAGGTACCATCGAGCCTTGCAGTCTATGGAAGGCGGACCGGGGGCGAGCTCGCGACAACTGACGCCCGAGGCCGTGGGACGGGTGAGAAGGAGAGCAGGGGGAAAAGACACGAGAAGAGGGAGAGACGGATAGCGGGGGGAGAGAGAAAACTCTCGAAGATCAACTCGTGCGAGCAATCCCAGAGAGAGAGAGAGGAGGGTCGAGAGCTGATCGTACCTGTTGACATCAAGCGCCATCGCACCAGTATGACACCCTAGCCTGCTGGGTGACTATAAGTCCTGGCCACGCTGCAGGGATCATCATATACTAAATGTGAGCTACACGCAAGGGCACCTCTCCCGTAATAAAGCCGTCGCGGGCGGCCAGTGACGCATGCTCTCTGATGAGACGTGACAAAGTCAAGAGTTAGTTGGAGGGAAGACTTGACACCCGTTGGACGAGGGACGCTCTGTACGATCTGCGCGCGATGCGGTTCGAGAGAGCGAGAGCGATAGGGAAGTCAATCGGAGAGAAAGCCTTGGCTGTACGAGGAATATGAGCTTGGCAAGCATAGTTGACTTCAATCGCCATGCGCTACTTCCAACTAGTCAGATACGGTGGTGAGCGAGCTCGCAATTGTGAGCGAGACCGAAGAGTGACACGCAATCAGCACGAGCTTTGCAATGTGGAAAAGTGGATTGAGACTTGATAGTTGGAGTTAACCCTTACTACCTTCTCTCCAGGTCGCTAGTAATGAGAGAAGAAGATCCAGCGATGTTTCTCTGTTGATTTCATCGTGGCTGTCCATTCGTCAAGAAACACGCGAAGCATTGGTGGGTTGACACAACAATCCCTCCTTCGAACTCAATGACCGAATCTTGCTCTTCTTGGAACCCTCTGAGCATTCGAGGTTGTGAGGCGGCCATGGACGATAGCCCATAGGCGTGACCAGTGTGTTTACCCTGTATTTGCACCCACGACTTTTCATTGTTTTACTTTCACGGTGACGTTGCCTCCGGGAGAAGCACCACCTATGCAGGCGGGTCGCTGTTGACGTCACCTACTTTGGATTTGGATCAGCTGTTTTGTCTACGGTCCTTTACTCTGCGTTAACTTCACGCTGCGGTTTAGTCACGGTTTCCCTCTCTTGGTGAGGCCTGTGTGGATGAGCTGTCGAGTTGTCACTAGCCATAGTTGTAGATGAGTTGGGTGATCACTAGTCGTGTTAAGAGTCAACCTAAAGGAATTGGGAATAAGCTGGTATGCCCAAGCACTATACGGGTTTGAAACGCTCAGTATGAGGGCCTGACAAGTCAGTTCGAGCCTCTTCCATGAGCGAATGTTACAGCGCAGGTAAGCGGTTAATCCCCCGATCGTTGCTTAATGAAACTGGTAACTGTGAAGATTGTTGTAAAAATTGTGGTTTAATCTTTCAAGCCGTCTTGGAAACTGGTTGCTGGAGTTTGCGTGATGTCGTAGGGAGAGAAAAAGAGTAACCGAGAGGGTCGCACGGATTAGCTTGTGAAACCAACCCGGCTCGATTGTGCTCCCTCGAACTCTGTCTCTCTTGCCGCTCGTTGATTGATGGGAAAGAGGCGATCAGTGATTCGAGAGATAGCCTACCAACTAGTTAAGTACTTACTCAACGCGGATTAATCTTTGAGTTCATCTATGTTAAGCTTGCTCGTTTGAAGGGTTTTAACCAGGGAAAGTCTCTTACGTTTAGTGCTCTATTTTGTGCACACAGCTATCGCCCTAAACATACTCTTACCTTATGTGCTCAGAATCATGAGTCTGATGGTGACTTGGCTATACTCTAGACTACGATAAGCACTAGCTGAGGGGGCATTCAGCCTACTGAACCTGAGTACAGACAAGTCTCGCGTCAAGAGTTGCATGATTTTGAGCCCAGAGTCAAATCAAACTCTGAGCTCAAAGCTAGATCAGGCTCTGAGTTTAGAACCATGCCTGAGCAGTGAAGGGAGCTGCAACTGTTTCAAGTTAGGAACTACTGCGCTTGGCGCTGGTGAACTAGACTCAGGGTTGAGCCTCGTGAGCGAGAAGGGCACTCGGACTTGTGGTACACAGTACCGCTAACTACCAGCCAGTCTGACACAAGAACTGAGTACCTACAACCCACGCGTGACCGGAACCCATTTAAGGCAGGGTTGTAATCTGAACTGTTCTGAACCCAGGTGCAATGAGCGGGGTCTTGCGGGATACGTGCACAAAGCTTGTACGACAACTATATGCTATTCGGTATTAACCGTGCAGATTAGCTCGTCTGCAGAAGGAAAGGCAAAGTGCCAGCTGCGGATCTCCTCTTGTCTGCAAAGAAGTTGGGAGGCAGTAAAAGTGAGGCTCCCCACTTAAAATCAACCGTGATCTGGTAATAAGTCACGAACTTTTGGGGATTGAGAACAGTTTAAATCATACCTTCGTTTGAGACTTACAGACAGCCAGACATCACGCAGTGAGAGAAGCCAATAGGGCCCTGTTGCTGAGAGCTCATTCCACTCTGAAAGCTGAGCTCGATAGAGCTGTCCCCGACCTGCCCCGCTCGTCACCTGGTCCCTAGTGAGAGAATAGGAGACGAGAGAGAGGACTGGGTTCTAGTAGTGAAGGGTAGTTTTGTGAGAGACAAGAAAGAGGGGTGAATGGGAAAAGTTTAAATGGATATAGAATCTCGCGTCCTAACACGTGCTGTGGAGAGGGCAAAAGGGAAAGGTTATATCGAACGCGCGATTTATCCTTGTGTTCGCAATAGTAAAATTGCACAGTTACAGCTCGCCCCTGGAAACTGCTGAACTGAATCGATCAAGGCCCAAGTTAAGCTCAGTAAACACCCGGGCTCTTCCTCCATTGGTTTTCACCGGTGTTCTGATGAAAGAGAGACTTACTCCGCTGTCTACAGATCCTTCTTAGAGACCAGATCAGCATCTAGCCATTTAAGCTATTAAAAATTCGGCCAAGATTAATCGATACTCACTCAATACTAAGCCCCCGAAACTACTTGAAGCCCTCAGTTTGAGCCTGCCAATTCTCGGTGGTTCGAATCATCTGAGATGGTTTAATCAGAATCAATCAACGCTTGGCTTTTCTCATTTGCATTGGAAGTCAGAACCCTTCGAACTGTACCCTCATCAAAAGGATACAGGTCAGCCTCAACACCGACATCTGAACCAGTAAGTACCCATTATCAGTCTGCAGTCATTTCTACTGCAAAAGGGCCTCGTAAATCAGCGACCTTGTGGCACAACTTTCGGATGAGTTTTTCAGACAAGTGTTCAGATAGTCTTCAGTCAGCGTTCAGCCAGCACTCTGACGGCTGTATCAAGTTGCAATCAACATCAGTCCGAACAGCGAGCAAACAACAGTCAGACAACTATCAGACATCGTCCGGTCGGCACTCAAATTACTTTATATCTGTGGTTATCTACTTAGTTGGGACTCACTGCTATGAGATCTGAGTGTAAGAGGAGAAACATGAAGTATGAAGAGATCCTGGTGGTGAAGAGCACACTAATCAGAGAAAGGAAAGAGGGATGGGAAGAAGATGCCATCAAAGACATGGAAATCAACAGGCAAGTGCAGAGAGGGAGCATGTAGTTAGAATAGCGGGTGAGAAGAAGTACATTGAGTATGTAGTCTATCTCTACCGACCTGACAACAAACTGCATAGCACCAGTTCCGTGCTAGAGCGTGTGGAAAAGGCCAGGGCGAAGCTCGGGTGAGCTTAGTAGCGCTTGAGATTGCCATTTTCGAGTTCTCTTCAGCTTTGGAGCAGCAATCAGAAAAGCAATCAGAAAAGCAATCAGAAAAGCAATCAGATCAGCAATCGGACCAGCAACCGATCCGGCAGTCAAATAGCAAACAATATTATTCAAACGGCAGTCAAACAGCAAACAATAGTATTCAAACGGCAGTCAAACAGCAAACAATAGCATTCAAACGGCAGTCAAGCAGCGGTCAGACAAGCGTTGAAATAACATCCAATCAGCTCTCAAACATTGTCTAACTAGCATCCAAGCAGCATCTAACTAGCAGTCAAACAACACTCAAGCACCAGTCAAGGACCTGTTAATTGGTGACAATTGTTGCCTAATTCAGTGAGCAAACAGTTGGCTTGATCCGTAAAGGATTTATCAATCAGAGACTCAGCCTCTTTTCAGCTATCAAGCAGCTGGCCAAGCACATGATAGAGATCAACCCCATCACGATTGACCAACTGGTCCTAGACAGCCTCAACCAGGTAGCCTCGAGAAAGTGCTTCCCCTACAAATATGTCAGAATCGATGGTTTCAAGCGTGAAGATCTGTCAATCTTCATTGCTCTCACAGAGTTTGCAGAAGGTACGGTCAAAGATCTGCGGATCTATCTAAAGAAAGGGAATGAGGTTCATCCACATTTTGATGCAGTGTGGGCTGCAACAACCGGGTACGTGGAGTGGAAAGCTGAGAGACTCTAGGGGAACACAAAGCTAGTCAATAGATTTGGGCCTAAGCTTTTCACTGACTATCCCAAACCTCCGATCCCTTACTATCTTACTGATGGCTCTTATTGGGGTGGGCTGGTAGACCTGGCCAAGAGATACGTATCGCCAACAGAGATCGATTACGAGGCAATGACTGAGCCTTTTGAGTTTCCACATCTCAAGAGGGGCATTTTCTCTCAGCCTTATCTTCCCACTCTATGAGAAGAATTTTGTGTCATGCTTGTCTTTCGTATCATGGGACTTGGCTGGAAATGTTTGGAAATAGTAGGCTTCAGGTGGCTTTACATTCAGAAGCCACAACCTCAGAGAGTACGGAGACACGGCAAGAAGCCCAAACGACGGGCAGCAAAGTAAGAGATAGAGAGTGAAGTTCAGAGGGATGAGTGAGGACTCTTGATTGGTGTTGGCCATGCTCTCTTCCATGTGTACTCTCTGAGACTATTATGAGTTCTCATTCTTCCCTCATTCATTTGACTCTGCCACTTCTCGTGTCAGTCAGTCTTGCTTCTTGCTTTGTTCTTGCATGATGATTGCTTTCGTGGATGATTCAGTCACAGTTCTGAAAATCAGATTGACATAATTGATGCATGCTTAGCACTCCACAGTTTTATGATTATTATTTGCATGTTTCTCTGCTGTTCCAAATCAAAATAAAAGATTCCTAAGACCGGGGACCGACAAAGACCGTAATTGAAGGGTCTCGCTCGAAGCCGGACACACACAACAGGAAGGGATTTGCATTATTTAATTTATTTTATTTATTGCAATCTCATACAAAATCCTGCGTGACAGCCTGTTGGCTTTCCGGTCTTCCAAAGTGGCCCGACTGGAAAAAGTGCGACAAAAATTGTACCGTTGCCGGTGACTTTTCGTGTCCGGAATGAGCCTGGGTCATCATCATCTTTGAGCTTTGATTAGGGCGTGAGAACTGTTGACAATATTATGAGCTTCATATCAATTTTTTTATTCTCATTGAGTCTCAATTCTCTTGAGAGTCACATCTGCTAACTGTGTCTTATTTCTTCCTTGTGTGAGGTACCACACTGGACATGAGAAGGATATTGATATTATTGACAAGGAGAATCAGACTTGAATTCATGTATGCCTCATGAGCCTATGATGTTCTTTGAACACTGAGAAGGGAAAGGAAGAATCAAGAGCTTGGGGATTTCTTCGAGAATGCCAACTTCAAATGCATTGAGGGAACTCTCGAAAGTAACTACTAAAGGAATATTCCCCTATCAGTACGAGCATTGTTGGGTCTACTGTTCTGACAATTCGGCCATCAGCGTAGTGCTAGCTCGCTTTTTGGAGGGAGATGTTTATGATATCCGTCCCTATGTCAATAAGGGAGACTGTGACGATGGTGAGACCTTCAACTGGCTATGGGAAATTGCGATCCAGTCTCTTTATGATGAAAAAGCAGACTTAATTAAGCAGAAGAAGAAAGTGGAATGAAGTTTAATGGTAGTGACATATAAACTGTTCCGATCCCTCCTATACCTAACAACTATTGTGATGGGACTAACTGGTTGCCAATAATCAACATGGTATTGACGAGGGAGAAAAGAAACAGTGGTCATGAGAACTAAAGAGATTCCAGCAGAAGAAATCAGGCAGAGAAGGCTGAAATCTGGCAAAGGTTCTGGCCCAAGTCAAGAGAAAGTTGAGTGTCTCATAAGGTCACTGAACACTCGAAGTAAGAGAGAGTTGTTTCGATACGAGGTTGTCAGATATGAGATTGTCGAAAGCGGATGGGAGCAGGAATGATTATACATACTGACATTCTATTTCACAGAACTGGACGTGTATGATGTGAGAATTTATGTCCCAAAAGAAAAAATATGGAAGATGCTGAGGATTTGCTGAAGAAGTGGTACTGAAAGAGAAAGAGAGATTTGAGAGGGAAAATAAAAATTTTACTGGATCTACTCGATTTACTATCTTTGAGGGATTTCCAGCTCCTCCCTTGCCCGATATAAATTTGTCAAAAGATAATTGGTCTGCAGTGATTGAGTTTGCCTTGAAAGTGAAACGAGACCAATGAGTCAGATAAGTCGACGCTACGTACCATTAAGGGAGAAACCTAAGCTTAGACTGATTAGAGGTCATGGAGGGTTGAGTAAGGTTGAATCAGATAAACTGTTAAATTCCCTTAATTCTAAAACGAGCAGAGTCATAATCCCTTATGAGATCGTGAGGTATGAGGCCATAAAGAAGTCGGGGCGAGATCAAGATAGTCTGTATGTTCTTACCTGTTACTTTGTTGATCTTGATGAGTATGATATTGGGATTTATGTGCCGAAACAAAAATTTGAAGAATCCAGAAAAGGTGTGTGTTGGCAACGAGCGTCGGATCTTGTGCATGATGAGAAAAGAAGATTAGAACGAGAGGGAAGGAGTTTCTCTTTTAGTACCTATGTCAGACCTTTTGTTGGGATACCATCTCGACCTGTTGAGGGACTCATATTCCCAATAGACAATTGGTATGCCATGATAAAGTTTGCATGGAAAGTGAAGAGAGCCCAAGAGGAATACTCTCAGTAGCCAGGATAACTACTGTGAGGGGCAAACTTTATGGGGTGATAGGTCATGATAATCCGTTTGTAATTTTAAGGCATGAGATTTGTGGGGAAGGACATATAGTATTTCATATTCCGGTAGTTAAATTTTTGAACTCTGACAGTGAGGGTTTATTCCTCTAATAGTGAGGGTTTATTCCTCTAATAGTCTGGAAGAGGAAGTTGACTACCTGGAATATTTAAAAGGGGCGTATGTCAGCCTTCAGCGGACAAAAGAGTGGCTAGAGAAGCTAAAAAGGAAAGTAACCTAGGGGGTGGGAGTAAGAAAATTTGAGAGGCTCCCTGAGTTCTCAATTGCTAAGGAATTTGAAGACAGAAGAGATTGGATGCCTCTGCTGGAAGCTATTGCTGAGATTGGTAGAGCAAGAGAGAAAGACTCCACTGTGAAAATAAAATCCATGCTTCTGAGTACCTTTGAACACATATTCGAAATCCCTGATTATATTCAACGTGAGACTACCTTTCAGATATTGCTTATGATGATTAGCAATGCCCAGGTTGACTGAACAACTGATACTAGGAGTTGTGTTGGAAGGTAGAATAATCAAGGTCGAAGGGACTCTTCGAATCTCCGACAGAAACTTCTCTACCCTGGATGAACTTGAGTTTTTGCAGCCTTTCATTGATCGCATGAGATATTCTGCCTTGAGAATTGTCACTGACCAGACTGAGATAAGCTATCTATTAAAGGGGGTGAAAGTGGGAACTACTGAGAGAGTATCATATCACACTTCTCAGGAACGGGTCTCTTTTGCAAGAAGGATTAACAGCGGGCCGTAAACAATGTAATTTGATTATAAGATTATAGACCTGACTCGATATTTTATGATACGGGGTACTATAGAAGGGTATAATAGAAGATTGAGTAGGGATGATGAAAGAGAATTGATTGAAGATTACATTGGAAGGCTGAAAAGAATTGCATTGCCCTTGATCACTACCCAGTCCATTATTGCTTATATATATGTACAAAATTCTCAAGGGATAGAACAGACAAGAGAAGAGATAATCGAGCATGTATCCCTTGCTAGAAGAGTGCGAGATTGAAGGGCAAGGAAGAAGAGGACAAGAGTGACAGAAAGAGAAGATAATATTCAGGGAAATCAATGGTCAAAATGGCAGGGTGAGGTAGACCGAGTTCTTCTACAGGAACTAATGAAGAGGCCTTGGTTAGGGTTATTCGGTAATTGGTCGAGAGAGTTGACACTATAAAAGGAGGGTCAGACATTGCAAGAGCAAAGAGGTCAGATGAGAGAATTCTATGTTTCAGAGGGCCTCAAGTAAATGATTTTCTGGACGAGTATGAATTATTTGGTCTCAGTTATAGCTGGACAGATAAGCAACGGCTTAAACACCTTCTATCTTATTGTGATACTGACTCAAAATTGGTTGTTCAGGAACTAATGGAAGGGGTCAGTACATGAGAAGAGGTCAAAGAGAGAATGGAAAAGGAATTTGAGAAGGACTCATTCCCAACTACAACCAAGGATTTGCTCATCATCAGAAGAGCTAAGTATGACACTTTCAATGTTTTTCTTCAGACCTTCATCCGAACAGCAAGAAGAATTCCATATTTGGACGAAGCCCAGAGATGTCATATATTTTTGACAAATTTTACTGACACCGAAAGGCATGCCGTTCTCAATCAAGCTCGACACTATCCTCTCAGATTGGATGAAATGGTTGCAATTATAAGAACTCTGCCTACAGTCTCTCATAAGAAATGGTCACTAGATCAGATCAGTACTTTGGCCAAGGACTGGGAGACTGAGAATGGTATGAACCGAGGAAACAATCTGAGTGCTGAGAATATTCTTCAGAAAGTGGTGGCAAATTTTATGCCTGCAAGGCCTGCCACTTATGTTGTGGATGACAGAGGGAAGAAGAAAGCTGAAAGTGAAGAGGATGATGATGATGATGATGAAGGCTATGGTAAGAAAGGAGATTCTTCTAGATCTAAAAGGAATGGAAAAAATGGTGATAAAGGAAATAGAGAAAGGAGTTTTGTCTGCTACTATTGTGGTGAAGGGGGTCATACTACCACCTATTGCAAGCCTCTTGAGGAGGATGTAAGGAGTGGGGTGGCAAAGAAGGATGCAATGGGTCATGTCTGTGATAGTTCATGGAACAAGTTGGACCCCAGGCATCCATGAGGTATGAGACTTCTTGCTCTTAAACATGATGAAAAGATGAAGACGAAGAAGAAGAGAAAGGCTAATGTGAATGTTCATTTTATCATTGAAGAGTTGCCTAATGAACTAGTACAAAGAACAAGTGACCTTTATACCACGATTGAGCTGTCTCTGCAATCCTTAACATTGACAGAGTGTGTGTCTAGCGAGGCTTCTACAAGTGAGTCTCCGCTGGGAGGGAATTATATTTTTCAGAATCTTTCTGAACTAGTAGAGTCCTCTTCCGATGGAATGGTTCGCTTCCTGGCTAATATGATGTCGTTTCATGGTGATTTACCTCCATAACTCGTCATGGAACCTAGTGTCAGGCTTGGTGAAGTAAGAAACCTCCAAGCTCGCATGACGCCTCAGATGATAGAGGAAAAGAAAAGGAGGAAGGCTGAGGAGTCACTGATTAATATCCTTGATGACCCGGAATCGGAACTTTCACATAGAGAAAATGAACAGGGGAGAAAAAAGAAATTTATTATCAAGAGTGACTTGGATGATGGGACAATGATTTCTGATGTAATTACTAAAATGCTGGAAGAGACGGAAGTGACATTATCCTTCAAGGAAGCAATGACTCTAGCACCCAAACTGAGGGAAGAGCTGAAAAAGTTGATTGAGAAGAAAAAATTGGAAGTTAATTACTTGGGATCGGTCTTTCCTAACCAAGTGAACAGGTCGCTGCCAGGTTACAAGATGAGATTCGCAACCATGGGATGTGGACACCTTACAATTCATATTAATCAAGTAAAGATTCTAGCCCTAGTTGACTCTGGGGCAGAGATGATACTCCTTTCACGAAAAACAATGGAGGCTTGTAATTTAACTATTGATAGACCTGCACAAAATGTACTGAGCAATATTGCAGGAGAGTTGTTCGTGGCGGGATTTATTGATAATCTGCCTATCGGAGTTGGAACAATAACTGTGGAATTACTGGGTTTTGTAGTGCCTGATCAGGACCATGACTGTATCTTGGGAACTCCATTCTTGCATAGGATGGAGACGGTCCAATTTTTCAGCCATGAAGGGTCATTTTGGATCGGCCTACAAGATCCTGAGACTGCTCAGGAGCAAATTTTAATGGTCTGCACAAAAAGTGATTTCAAGCATCAATTGTCTGCTAATTCAATCAGAAGAGAAGAGTAAGTTGAAAGGGTTAGGAGACTAAAGGAAGAAGGAAAACAAAAAGCGAAAGAAGAGATTTCGGTGGGTATCAATCAAGTTTCGAAAATAATAAAATCTTTTGGTAAACTCGAGGATGAGGATGGATAAATTGAAGCCTTTAAGAAGGTTGTAGAGACTGCTAAAGGTGGAAAGATGGAATTAAAATTTGCATCGACTCACCGTTTTTCAGAAAAATAGACACTGGGTCAAAAAGAAAATATAAGCCCAAGGGGTGAAGAAAAACCCGGTGGCAGTCCTAATAGAAAAAAATTATGATGCAGCAATGAAAAGGGAGAGGGAGATTATTAAAGCACTGAGAGGGTCTGCAAAATTGGGGAATAGAGTCACTAAAGAGAGGTTTGACACGATGAAGATAAACTCGGATCAGTTTATCCTGCCTAAAGAGAAAGAATATATCTTCAAGATGTATCAGAAATTCTCTGGTGCTTTCTCTTTTAATGATGAAGAAAGAAATCGGTTGGACGTGAATATGATCAAGATGGCCAAGATTTGGACAGTTGATCATGTTCCATGGAATGATAGGCCGACCAAGTATGCCTTGAAGGAAGAAGCTGAAGTTGTAAAATACCTTGACAAAAAGATTGCATCTAATGTTGCTGAACCTGTTGATGGACTGTATGCTAACCACTGGTTCTGTTTCTGGAAACCAGGGGGCGGGCTGAGATGGATTCAAAATCTTCAGAAAGCTCAACTATGTGACGGTACGTGATGCAGGTAGTCTTCGTAATGCTGATCTCCTCTCTGAGTCTTTTGTTGGTCGATGCATTTATTCTCTAGTTGATTTGTATTCTGGCTATGATCAGTTTTCCATTGATCCCACTAGCCGACCAATGACTGCCATGCACACGCCAAGAGGACTCATTCAGATGTGTGTGGTGCCTCAGGGTTTGACTAATGGTGTGGCGGTGGTTCAAAAGGATATGATCCAAGTTATGCAAGATATTTTTCCTGAGATAACCAGCCCCTACATTGATGACAATCCTGTAAAAGGACCCCTGGTAAGGGATGAGACTTTAGTTGCAGGTGGAGTCAGAAAGTTGTCTGGGAACATGCTGAAGGAGTAAAGATGGTCCTAAAGAGACTTAAAAAATATAATTTGACTGTTAGTGGACCAAAGTCCCTTCTCTTTCAGCCTGAAGTGATCATCTTGGGCTTCAGATGTTTCTCCAAGGGTAGGAGTCCTGACCCCAAGAAGATAGACAAGATCTTAAACTGGCCTCTGCCACTCAAGAGAGTGACAAATGTCAGAAACTTCTTGGGCGTCTGTGGATTGTGGAGGATTTTTATTCCTCATTTTGCTACCCTTGCAGAGCCTCTGAGGGAAATGGTAAGGCAAAGGGCTAATTTAGCTTGGAATGATAAAAGACAAGCCGCTACAAAAACTCTGCAGGAGAAACTAAAAGATGGTGGTGTAGTGTTGGAAGTGTCATTTTATGATGATGAGGAGGCAAGACCCTTCATCATTGAGGCAGATGGAGGGTCAGTTGCTCTACGCGGTGTGCTTATCCAGAAAGATGAAAATAGGAAGGAAAGGCCTCTGAGATTTGAGAGCAGGACCCTCAATTCTACAGAGAGAGGGTACACCCAATTTAGAAAAGAGCTACTGACGATCGTCCATAGCCTCAGGTGCTTCAGGCACTACGTACTAGGAAGGAGGTTCATCCTAAGGACTGATGCATCTGCTGTGATAGGTGCCATTAAGAAACACCAACAGGTAGATCCAACAATCAGTAGGTGGATCGCCTTCATCTGTACGTATGATTTTAAGTTGGAAAAAATCCCCACTGAAAGGAACAGAGCAGATGGTCTAAGCCGGATTGAGTGGAGAAAAGAAGAGGAAGAATATGTAAATGGAACGTTTGAAGAATCAACTTATGTTGATAATTTTCTTAATGAGAGAGATGATGAGGATTATGAAGCACCACACTCTTACAAGTGGAGTTTGTGGCCTTAAGAGAGAGACAACTGGGGAGAGATCCCTAATGCATATGTTTATGAGTCGATTCTTGGAAAAGAGGAAGAAGATGAGCCAAATGATTGGTATGGTAAAGTTAATGCAGCAGCAGTGGCTGCTCATAAAATTGGGGAAAGCTCTGGTTCAAAGGAGGAAGAAGGAGGCGAAAAGAAGGAAGAAGACACATGTTTCATATTTGAAGAATATGATGAAAACTATCAAGAGATTGGTAAGAAGATGGAAAAGGAACAGCTAAAAGAATATTATTGTAAGAATTTAAAGAAAAAGTTAAGACTAAAAATAGGACATCTCTTTGTGGATGGTAAGGGAGGCCTACCTAGGGTGGTCTGTGGTAAAGAGAGACAATTAGAGATAATTGCTGCTCTACATGAGGGGGTTGTTGGTGGCCACAGGGCTGCTGAGGCAACCTACTCTAAGACTGTCAAGCTCTACTTCTGGCTTGACATGAGAGACATGATTTTCAGATTTTGTAAATCATGTGTGTTATGTCAGAAGAGGTCTACCACAAGAATGATTGAACCTTTATTTCCCACTATTCTGGTAGAGCCAGGAAGCAGAGTTCATTTAGATCTCATCACAATGCCTTTAGGCAAGGGCGGAATGAGATATATACTGAACTTGAGAGATAACTTCTCTAGATATGTTGAGGCAAAAACTCTGAAAAGGAAGATAGCCGAGCAAGTGGTTGACTGGATAGAAGAAGTCTATCTTAGGTATCTTTTTATCAGAGAGTTTGTCTCAGACAGGATTAAATAACAATTGCAAAATAACAATCGCAAAATAATCAATCAACTTGATTAATCAATCAATCAATCAATCAATCAATCAATTAATCGATTGATTGGTTGTTGCCAAGATTCATCGCGCCAGCTCCGATACCACTTGTAGCATATCAGAAAGTGAAATGCACTAACAGCCTAGGATCTAGCAATGATGAAAGTGGCAACAACCAGCAGCATAGATGCAACATTTACCAGATGTCAATGTGCACAATGCAACAAGTAAACCAACGAGAAAAAAAACACAACAACACATTTGCATCATCATTATCATGGGCTGGGGAACAGCRCAGCGGAATAATAGTAACCAAGAGGACACGTGGACAACAACAGGAAAGGGAGGAACTTCGGAAGGGCAGGACATTAGGAAGATTGCCCTTCCGCTCACTCACATAGGGAGAGACCCATAGACATGCGAGAGAGAAGGGGGGAGGGACATARGAGGTAACCAAGTCCAACCCAAGTCTGATCTCCGAATGTCGTGCACAGTTCAATCCCAATGTAGCGTGTAAGTCCGGTCTGAATGTCGTGTCCAATAAGGCCGAATGCCGTGTCCAAACAATGTCTGCAGTCACCTCTATCTCTACTCTGATCAAGACGAAGAAGAAGAAGAAGTAGAGGAAAGAACTATGGAAGAGTAGGAGGAGAAGAGGAGAGGAGACGAAGAAGAAGAAGAAGAAGAAGAAGAAGAGGTAGAAAGCTAGGCGCTTTCTGCACTTACCTGGCGATGGCTGAACTGCAGATACCGCGGAGCCAGCTATGGCGTTGGCCCAGGTGAGTCTTCTTCTCTCTCTCTCTCTCTCTCTCTCT